AAGGAGTTTCAGCTAAGGAGTACCACCATGCTGCGAAAGGATCTTGTCACCCATGGCTGAGAAGTCCTGATGCCACTCGCCTCTTCCAAATGCATGTACAGTGCAGGGTCCATAGGCTCGAAGTCCTGGGTTTTTGTTTGTTTTCACCATTAGGTGGGTGACTTTGGGGAAAACATTTACTCCTTGATGGTTTGCTTTTCCCCTTCTTTGACATGACAGTGTTGCCTATCTAGATAATCACTCTATTTCCTCTTTGCTTGAACAGTAGTCTGAGTGTGGTGATTGGAGGAGCCTATTTTCTTTAAAAAAAAAATAAATAAATAAAATTCATAAGCTTGTTAAGCTAGCATGACTGACACTAAATAGCAACATTTTTCTTTCTCTGTTCCATGTAAAAGTAGATCGCTAAAATGTGTGATGGTGTCATATCATAAACCAAGGATCTGAGCTAATTTTTTTGTAGTCTTGGCTAGGTGAGGATATTACTTATAAGGCATAGAATAACTATTGCACTTTTCTGAACCATTTATTTCCTATCTGCTACTAATTGCCCATTATAAAATGGATAATCCCAAGGGTAAGAATAAGACCTGACTCAGAATTCACAGGTTTGGTGAGTGGATATCAAAAGGCTTCTTGCAGTGGTTACCAAATGGGTAATATCTTCAATTGGAAACTGTTTGGATCAGACAGTAGTTGAATAGCTTATGCAAAGGATGGGCTAATCTCCACTTCACCCTCTACACGGAAACAAGACAAAAGTCCCCCAAGGTGATGGTCACATATTTGTGACTCCAGGACTCAGGAGGCTGAGATAGGAAGATCACTTGTTGAGGCCAGCCCAGGCTACATAGCAAGACCCTATTCAAAAAAGAAAGAAAAAGAGAATGAATGGAAGGAAGGAAGGAGAAAGAAAGAAAGAAAGAAAGAAAGAAAGAAAGAAAGAAAGAAAGAAAGAAAGAAAGAAAGAAAGAAAGAAAGAAAGAAAGAAAGAAAGAAAGGAATAAGGAAAGAAAGAGAGAGAGAGAGAAAGAAAGGAAGAAAGAAAGAAGGAAGCCAAGTACTGGTGACTCATACCTATACTCTTACTTATTCAAGAGGCTAAGATCTACAGGATTGTTATTTGAAGCTCACCTGAACAGAAAAGTCTGTGACTCCACTTCCAAAATAACTAACAAAAAAGCTGGGCTGGAGGTATTGTTCAAATGGTAAAGTACCATCCAAACAAGTAAACCAAGCAAATGCACAATCCTTAGCTCAAACCCTTATACTGGCTAAATAAATAAACAAACAAACAAATAAATAAATAAAAATTTAAAAATCAAGAAACTGGCAAAAGTCACCTTAACTTCTAAAAGTAAACATGATTTTGATCTGGAGTTTTGGTCTTCTTCTATTTTTGTTTTTGTTTTGAATTGATAGACCTTGTTTTGTGATCTGGAAAAATAATTATATGGTATTTAAAAATAATTTAAAATATCTAAAAACTCAGATTATTACAAAGAACAAAAACATCCAAAATTGAAAAACATACTTGATTTCCTTTGCTCAGAGATAAACCGATGTTGGGCCCATATTTTGTTTGTACTTTTTCCCCACAGGGTAACCACTTCATACAGATACCACAAGCTGCATAGGACTTGAAAACAGTGCTCTTCCTCATACCTAATAATATACAACATGGCTTAAAGGCCTTCTCAGGCTGAAGCAAAAAGAATTAAATTCCAACAGCAGTAGAGAATGATAGAAAGGAAGTCATACCTCCTCCTAGAAGCTGAAAGTTGAATCTTGAATGATGTTAAAGATTTTCAGGTATTGAGGTGTTCAAAGCACTTACCAGGTAGAAGAAAGTCTGCCAGCCTGCTGGAGACCACAGGGAAGTGCAGCTGGCCAAGTTGGGGTGAGTAGGAGCCACTCAATATATGAGTAGAAGGACTGGCACCTAGCCACTCCCAGCTCAAAGAATGGAGTTTGCTGATGGCTGCAGAGAACCTGAAACTGTTGAGTTGTATAGAATGACACAACCAAAACCCTACTTTATTCACTCCTTATGAACACAATGTTAAAATCCAAGTGTTTTTGTTTTTTAAAATGGGGCAGGAGTATGTGATCAAAGTACATAATAAGCCTGTATGTAAAGCTCACAAGCTCATGATTTCTGTATAATGAATATATTCCAATTTAACATCTGCGATTCTGAAAATACTCTGTCATATACAAGCCAAATATAGTCTATCAACACATCTCAGGAAATTCTTATCGTTTTAGCAAAACCCTTTCTAAGCACCTTTTGGACTTCTATAGGAGCTTGCATATGTACGTAAAACATGCAGTAAATAACTCTAGCAATGGCAGATTCCTCCTAAAGAGAGCTCTGGTCAACCAGATGTTGATTTAAAAAAAAATCTAAAAAGCACTCTAGGTTCGGGTTGTTGAGGCCACTGTCTCTCCAAGGAAGGAATCTGTTTGCCCGGTTGTATACCTGCTGAAAGGCTTTGATTTGGAAAACAGCTTTTCTCTGAAAACTAGTGTTTATTTAAATGGCTCATTGGTGCCACCTAGTGATGAAGTGCTAAAGCACAATCTTGGAGCCTATAGGCTTTTCCCCCATATATATAATATATATGATATATAATATTTATAATTGTAAAAATACTGTACAGAGGGGTTACACTTACATGAGTAGGGTAATGAGTACATTTCCTATCAAGCATTGTTACCTCCTACCATCCCTTCCCTCCCCACCTCCCCAACTCCTCCCTCCCCCCACCCCCGAATTTGTAAAGTTCACTTTCAACATAGTGTCTTGTACATCTCACTGTTACAATGGGCCAACCTGTATCCGTATTTAAGCATTTTGTTATATCCTTTCCCCTCCCTAAATTAGAAAAATGTATATATAAGATCCAGGACACCGGAATCACATACAGTGAAAACAGAGTTATACCGTTGGGGAAGAACATACAACAGAAACAAGAGAATCATGTAGTGTATTATAAGTATGCTAAAAACAATAGCAAGAAAGAAAAAACTACTTGTGTCCCTATCTTGGGGTTCATTTCGCTTAACATCATCTTATATGGTCATATGTACATAGCTTTTGATCTTTTCTGCTTGTCTCAGACATATACTAGTTATTACAAATAAGGGAAACCATAGGACCTATGTTTCTTTGGGCCTGGCTTACTTCACTTAATATAATTTTTTCCTACCAAATGGGCGATGTCATTCTTTCTGATGGAGGCATAGAATTCCTGTGTGTGTGTGTGTGTGTGTGTGTGTGTGTGTGTGTGTGTGTCTGTGTCTGTGTCTGTGTCTGTGTCTGTGTCTGTGTGTGTGTATCACATTTTCTTGATCCATTCATCTATTGAGGGGCATCTGGGTTGGTTCCATATCTTAGCTATGGTAAATAATGCTGCAATAAACATGGTTGTGCTGGTAGCTTTGGTATGACCTTGTTTGTGATCAATTCGCTAAATGCCCAAAAGTGGGATTACTGGGTCATAGGGGAGTTCTATGTGGAGTCTTTTGAGGACCCTCCATACTGTTTTCCAAAGTGATTGAACAAGTTTACACTCCCACCAACAATGCAGTAGGGTTCCCTTTTGGCCACAACCCTAACAGTATCTGTTGTTACTAGATTCCTTGATTATAGCCATTCTAACTGAGGTGAGTTAGAAACTCAATGGTGTTTTGATTTTCATTTCTTTTATGGATAGAGAAGATGAGAACTTCTTCATGTGTCTAATGGCCATTCTTATTTCCTCTTCAAAAAAGTCTCTCTAAATCTTTAGCCCACTTATTAATCAGGCAGTTATTTCTTTGAGGATTTGTATAATAATCAAAACGGTTTGGTACTGGCACAAGAACAGACCTGAGGACCAATGGAATAGAACTGAAATCCCTGAAGTGAACTCACAGACCTATAGCCACCTAATCTTTGACAAGGGAGCTAAAAAAATAGAATGGAAGAAAGCCTTTTCAGTAAATGGTGCTGGCAAAATTGGTTAAACACCTGTAGAAAACTAAAGCTAGATCCGTATTTATCACCCTGCACCAGAATCAACTCCAAATGGATCAAAGACCTCAGAGTCAAAGCAGACACCCTGAAAACATTACAGGATGGAATAGGAGAAACTCTAGGTCTCCTTAGCACAGGCCAAATTTTTCTTAATAGAGACCCAGAAACACAACAAATGAAAGAAAGGTTGGACAAATGGGATTGCATGAAATTGCAGAGCTTCTGCATGGCAAAGGACATAGCTAGCAAGAGCAATAGAAAGCCCACGGACTGGGAGAAGATCTTCACTAGCCATACAACAGACAAGGGTCTCATATCTAAAATATACTTAGAACTCAAAAAATTAAAACCCCCAACAACAAATTCTCTAAGAAATAACTGCATATGGGCTTTTGAAAGATCAAGTTTCTGATCTATGTGTCAACCATCCCCCACTCCACACCTCTAGTAATTTAAGAAATGTCTCAAGAATGGTTTTCTTCTTCATGCAGAAACATGGCTTATGAACATATTCCCTCCTTCCCTTTCTCTCTCAAATGCACAACCTTGTGTGCATTTTTTGTGTGCATTATTTTTTGCCATTTCTGTCATCAACAGTAAACCAAAGCATAAGAACATTCAGAAGCCAGGCACTTGTGGCTCATGCCTGTAGAAGCCAGCCCCAACAAGAAAGTACGTGAATTATTTTTTGAGACTCTTATCTCCAATTAACCACCAAAAAGTCAGAAGTGGAGCTGTGTCTCAAATGGCAGAGCACTTTGAGTAGAGAAAGCTAAGGGGCAGCATCCAAACCCTGAGTTTGAGCCCCAATACATACATACAGAGAGAGAGAGAGAGAGACAAAGAGAGAGAGAGAGAGAGAGAGAGAGAGAGAGAGAGAGAGAGAGAGAGTCCTGAAAGTGTTTGCAGAACAACCTTTATCAGGTCACTCCTTTGCTTAGTGCTTCCCCCTAACTGTCCTTCTCTCCTTGCTTTCCAGAAAGAGATGACAAGCAGGATGTGTCACTAATGCTCCGTGTTATTCTTGGGAAGAAAGGAAAGCTGTTTTCTCCATGAGACCTCAGGGGACACCAGGTAGCTCTGGCTGCCTGCTTCTGGGAGCAGGAGAGCTGAAGACCCAGAGGCACTCCGGGAAGACCTTTCTCTCTCTCCCACCCCATGTGCTCTTAACCCTCTGAGTGCTGCTAGCCAAGACCTGGGGGCCAGGCAGACCGTGAAAAAGAACCAGCTGTGGAACCTCCAGCTGAAGACTCAGCCAGGCCGGGCCTCTGCACCTCTGCTCCTGTGACCGTTCTGCCTGTGACCTGCCACCTAAGCTTTACTGGAATTCAGGTTTTGTGACTGAGACATTCCTTTGTACCTTTCCACTTACCTGCCCTTTCTGTCTTGCTAGCTGACTTTTCTGACCCTTATTTTCTAAATCCCAAGTGAATTTTGGAATTCTGAATGCAGAGCTGGTTTTTCTACACGAAACTTTCTTCTTCAGGGCTGAGAGGTCCGCTCTGTTTGCCTTTCTTCGTACTGTGCAGGGCCTGGATCTGTGGGAGACGCAAACCCCACCCAGAAAGGTCCCCACCAGTTCCCACATACGCGGTTTTACCAGGGAAACTGCAGCTGGCTCATCTGTGTCCCAAATAGATCCTCACATTCGCATCATTTGGGAAGAGACTTGTCACCTGCTGAAGACAGCAGCTTTCTAGTTGGCCTTGATAAGAATGCACGGTGTTCAACACACCACTGACTCTTCCACTGAAGATATTCTTCCCTAGATCCCAGAAAGAAAGAAAGCACCTAGTGACCGAGAATGACCAGTAGGGTCCCTGAGCCAGATGAGTGCAGTGTTTGTTCTTTATGAAAGTAGAGTTGTGGCTGCCTCTACATAACTGTAGCATTTTGATGACAAAACAAAAGGATACTTGGCAATTTGGTGCATGGAGATTAGACAGCCAGCCCAGTTGCTCCCCTTTGCTTCTGAAGCCAGCTGATGGGGCCTCTTCCTTCCCTACTTCCTTCCCTACTGTGTTGTATTACAACACAGAATTTACTTCTGCCACGGTTGCCAAGGTAACAGTGAAGCTGGAGCTTACCTCTTTCTCTCCATTACCAAGATTTCTCTTCCAGTAGACAGAATAACACATTCTGTGCTCCTTCCTACCTTCACAAACCTCGCTGAGTTGTAGTTGATGAAATGTTGCCTTCTCTGATTCATTCCCAAACCCTGGTCCCGACAGGCTGTGATTAGCAGGTAAAAGTACTCCCCGGAATATTTGAATTTAATAAAGAATCTGTTGGTGGAGGGAAATAGATAAGAATGTATTAGTGCATTTTCGTGGACTAACAATTAAAAGTTAAGCTAAACCACTCTGGTTTTGTTTTATTATGTGAAATGTGTTAAAGCCATTCGTGGATGCCACAAAAGCTTAGAAAGCATCAAATCCTTGTCCAAACTAAGAAAGGACTGGCCGAGAGCCCGGTGAACCTCTGTGTTACCTGCTGCAGACTGGTCCCTGCTTCACGCACCGTAGAAGCCATCTTGTAGAACCAGACACTGCTACCTCTCCATCTTTATGCTCTGGTGTACAATAGACACAGTTGCGCTTTTTTTTCCCTTCCTGGACTATTTTGAGACTGCAGTAGGCAAAACAGTTTTTTCCAGCATCACTTTGACAAGAAGACTCTCTGGCTGCCATTAAAGATCCAGAAGAACAAGAAGCCCCAATTCCTGACCTGTGCAATACTCATGACTCATGGGAGAGCGCGATGCTGGGAGAGAATGGCAGTGTCATCCTTTGCCCTGGGAGCATCTGTAGCTCTCTACCGTGACAACCACAGGACCGTGTCATGAGAAAGCTGAATATGTTCCCACATTTCTGTGATGCTTGATTGGTCAAGTGGAAAACTGGGATCAGAAGACACTTGTCATTGATTTTTGACATTATTTTTTCACTGTTGTATGTGTGAAATTTTCTATTTCCACTGCCCATACAAAACTCTCAACCATTTGGGTTTGCCTTCCTGCTTTGGCTTGCATCCTGCCTTTAACATCCCATTAGTTGATTTGATTTGATTGTGGTTGATTTATATACTTGTAATTCATTCTTTTAGCTGGGAACACATTAAGGGACTTGAATAGAGTCTTGCTCTCTGTCTCTGTCTCTTTCTCCCCCACCCCCACTCCCATTGTTATTGTGTTGGAAGTTCGTCTCTTTCTATGGCCTTAAACTTGGTCCCCTTTCTATCACCCCTGGGTATCTTACTATAAGAAAAACACAGTTCATCTTCAAGACATGGACACAAAGGTGTCCTTCCAATACTACGGTTGTCTTTCTTGCTCTGATTCTTTTGGCCTTTTAAGAAAGGTGATCATCTCCTAGAATTAGCCAAATTGTCCTTTGGAAATAATGGCTGTTTTATGCCCTATACATGCATATATATATATATATATATATATATATATATGTATATATGTATACATATATGTATATATACATATATATACAAATATAAGTTTATGCCAGACTATTTCCCCCTGGACAGATATTAATTTTCACTGATATATATTTGTATTACATAGAAGTAAAAATCTGTTTCTAATCAAACTGTCTTACTAGCTTTTAGTATTCTGATTTCAGAGTTTTCCTATATCATTTTGACATACATCTGAGGAAAATGATAACTATATTTTTATTTCCACTTATGATTAAATGAAGAGTTATTCTGTTTAGAAAAACAGACTAATAACCAATTAGAAAAGGAATATAAAACTAAAGGATATTTATGAAATCTGTTCTATATGAGCTTAGGAATTCATATGTCACAAATAAAAGATATAGCCATATAGACTTGTCTTTTTTTAATGTTTATTCCTTTAACAAATCGATTCTTTGGCTTACAATGCTCCTAGAACAAATAGATAAAGGAAAATTGGCAATTCTTTATAAATTGATATGGAATTCATTTGAAACTACATACGTATTTTTATTTGAGCAGAAATTCCTTTATCCTATTACAGAATTTTGCAAAAGGGTATCAAATACAAACGTTAGCTTTTCAGCAGATGAATTTTGTACACATTTCTTTGTTATAGTACTATTAATTTGATGATAACCTGGTTATCTAATGACAACAAAACTAGATCATAGAAAAGCTTATCTATTAGAATAAATAAACTTTAACGTTAATCTCTGGTTTGATGCTATCTTATTTGTATTACTTTGAGTAATTTAATTGTTCTATGATTCAGATTTCTGAACTTCAAGATGGATTTATAGATTTATTCCTAGATAGCTTAGTATTTCTTTAGGAGAATAAAAAAGCTAATTTATTTGGAAAAAAAAGCAAAAAAATACCAGGAAAAAAAATTATATATATTCTATGCCTGGCTGTTTTAATAGTACACTTAGAATTTTTATATAATAATTATAAATGATTCCAGTAGCAGCCACTGTTGCCAATAGCAATAATAAAATATTGTGATAAAAGCTATGTTATTTGGTAAAATAAAATGAGGTGACAAGATAATTTTTAGACACAAGGCAGTGAGGAATGAGGCTTCTGGCCTACCATGGAAATAAAGATGTTTACCTGCTTCTCAGCGATAATCTTCTGCATATGCTGAGTTGTGACACTATGGGCTGAATTTAGCCTATAGGCATGTTTTGTTGGACCTGCACAGTGTTCATTTTTAAAATATTTTTTATTTTTTGTCATTTTTAAACCCTGGATATTTGAGGCTAGGCACTGTGGCTTATCCCTATAATCCTAGCTAATTGCAAGGCTGAGACCTGGAGGATGGCAGTTCAAAGCCAGCTCAGTCAAAAAAAAAAAAAAATCTCCAAAATTCTGTATCTAATTATAAAAATGCAAACAAAAATGCCAGACTGGAGGTATGGCTCTATTGGTAGCGTGCCAGCTGTGAGCAAGATAACAAAGTGAGAGTTTAAGGTCCTGAATTCAAGACACAGTACCAGAAACAAAGTAATAATAGTTCATAATATGAATACTAATTTGTAATTTTGAGACATTAAAACTTGGTAATTTTGGCTTCTCTTATAAAAATCACATTTGGCATTACCAGGCTTTTGTTCTTACAGAGCAGGAATTATCTGAGAAGGGGTTGAACCACTGAGATAGCATACAATCTCTTCAGTTGACCACTGTTGTCACTTTTCTATCGCCTCCCAGTTCTGAGGCTAGTTCTCAGGTACTATTTGTCTATTTCCACTGGAATGATTCACTCATTTACATATCTTGCCTCTCCCATGAACTGATTTCAAGTTGCAGCCCCAGACACATGGGCTCGAGAAAAGCCACAGAGGAAACCTTTATATTAATTTTCAGATGTGTCATACAGACATTGTATATCAAATCTACACTTCATTAGTTTTCTAGCAACCAGGCCTGTCTTATGGTGATACATGGAAAACAGTCTTAGACACCAATAACCACACCACATACCTTGATCCCCTCTACCCAACAAGAAAAATAGATAACCCATTCCTTTGTAGAGAATAAGATGATTAGTAAAGCTGTCCACTTAATTATTCTAAATTCTTGCCATTCAATTTCACTTCCAAGTAGATCCACTCATGACATTGACCAAGATGAGAAGAGAGGAGCTACTGCCCAGGCTTTTAGTCTAAGTGAAATAAAAAAAAAAAAACATGGCATAGTCTTGAGGAAAATAAATAAATAAATGCCATAGAGAAGTAATGGTAGAGTTACCACTTTTATCTGGTTTTACTTCTCTTTCATTGTGAAGGAGAATACTGCAGAATACTGCAATTTTAGCTAAAAACAGAAACCTTCAGTTGCAAAGTAACAATCATCAAATTGTTTTTTCATGGTGACAAAGTGTCCTAAGGAAGTTAAATTCAAACTAATTGAAATTTGATTTTGTTCATAATTGTATCACTACATGCTAGATTGAGTATCTGTTCCAGAGGAAATGATACCATAGGAGTGATTCATCTCCTCACATATTATCAACTCAGCAAAGGATGACACTATAAACAATTTACTGAAATGCATGGGGTGTAGAGGAAAATAGTATCCATCTAATCCTGTTTAATAGGATGTAATGGGATAGTTGTCCCTACTGACTGTGCCTGTGTCTCATTGATGGATATTTGACACTGCTAGGAGAAAAACAACAATAACAATGGCTAGCTGGCTGCTGTTCATGAGAAGCAGAAGCCTTTAGAAAATTATAGATGCTGATTTGTTTTTCCGTGGAAGGTTAACTACCACACTTAGGTCTATCTTGAACAGAAGATAAATCATAGATGTACTTGGTCCACATGAGTTTGTATGAAGACAGAACCTTGATAAAGTTGCTTAGGACTTTGAGTCGGGATAAAGTCTAGTGGGAGAATGCCACATTGGATGGAAAATAAGGCACTGGGTTGCTCAACCATGCCTGTGGTGAGTAATTTTCTTCTTCAAGACTATGCCATGTTCTTTTTTCTTTCATTTAGACTAAAAGCCTGGACAGTAGCTCCTCTCTCCTTTCTCCCACGTCTCCAGCCCCTCCAGCCTCCTTGCTGGCCTCAGATACCGTATGTCTCACTTCTCCCATTCATGTCTTCTCAGATGTTGCCTTGTGAGACCTCTGCTGAGCCCATTTGCTCAATAGAACTCACCACTCCCCTTTCTCTGCTCAAATTTCTGCAGTGGGGGACAGGGGAGCTGTTATTGGGGGCCATCTTGGAATGTGCTCGACTGTGGGTGAATGGCAGACTTTAATCCATCCAGAAGCATCTCCTGGTGACCACGTTACAATAGATCTTAGGATGAGAGAAATATTGGTACCACTTTCCAATATTCTCATCACAATCTAGGGCTCAATATTCTAACTCAGGAAAGAAAGAATTGTTTTGAGAATCCAAAGAGCACTCTAAATTTATGCCGGTCCACAAAGGCAGAGAAATTGCATTCTATTCAAATAGCTTCTTTGTTTTACTCAAAGATTTTTGTTCTTTGAAAATGAATGATCCTGTATTATATGGTAAATTTCAATTAGCTAGCATGGCTAAAGAAAAGTTCAGTTCCCTAACCACTTTAATTAACCAGATTTCATTATTCCTGGCTCTACCATATCACAATGATGTGGCTAGTTGTTTGTTTTAGTTTATGTGGTCTGTTGTCTTGAACTTTATTACTTATTCTTCTTGTATTGACCTACTTAATAGGGTACTGATGATATGTTCTACCTCTCAAAAAATGAAATGTGAAATGAAATATATATGTGTATATATATAAACACATAAATGTATATATATTTCTTAACAGAAAGGTTTCTACTAGGCTGAGTAATAGACTCTACTACATTAAATAATAGATTATCTACAATGGAAGGGCCACAGAGAACACATTCAATTTTAGTTTCTATAATATCTCCCCTACAATCCAAACAGTTTCTCTCTAAGATTTTCACTAACATTAGTTTGCTAGGGCTACTATACCAAAGCAGACCAACTGTGTATCTTAGCAACACAAATTCATTACCTCAGTCTGGGAGGATGGAAGCCTAGCTTAAGTATTTTAGGACTGATTCCTTCTGAAGGCTGCAAGGGAGGACTCATTCCATCTTTGTAGTGCCTTGCTAGCATTTTTGGCATTGTCTGGCTTCTGCTACATCTCCTTGTCTCTTCCTGAATCTTCACATGGCATTCTCTGTCAGAATTACCGTGTGTGTGTGTGTGTGTGTGTGTGTGTGTGTGTGTGTGTGTATGCATGCACTAAGGTCCCATTGCACTTCAGTATGCCCTTATTTTAACTAACTATAACAATTCTATCTACAAACATGACCACGTTTTTAGAGACTCACTCTAGAAGTTTAGTATACTATTTGTATAGGCCTAAAATTCAACTCGTAATATCTGCGATGTACTCTAGAAAGAGTACTGATAATGAGACAGGAAAATTATAATCAATTTTAAACAAATTTAGTTTTGTTTAATCTACTGTTTTGTTTTAAAAAAAATCTACCACATCTTCACTCTACCAATTCATTACTTATTATTTATGAAGAGCATTCATCATTGTACAATTAAAAAAATAGTTTTCCAAAGCTAGATGCCAGTGGCTCACACCTGTAATCCTAGCTATTCAAGAGGCTGAGATCTGAGGATGAGGGTTTGAAACCAGTCCAGGCAAAAAAAGTCCCTGTGACTCTTATCTCCAATTAACCACTAACAAAAGTAGGAAGTGAAGCTGTGGCTCAAGCTCTAGAGCACCACCTTGAGCAAAAAATCGTCTAAGCACTGAGTTCAAACCCCAGGATTGGCACACAATTAGGACTTGGTGGAGAAATGAAGTTGAGGAGAAGGAGACAGAGAAGAGGAAGAAGAATGAGAAGGGAAAGGAGAAAGAAGTAGGAAGAAGGAAAGCAAAAAGAGAAATGAAACAAAGAAAGTCCTATTGGTATCAAAAAATATTAAGTTGACTTTGCCACTTAACATTATTACTGTTCCAATGGTGCTATGGCTCAAGTGGTAGAGCACTTGCCTTGAGCTGAAGAGCTCAGGGCCACCACCCGGGCCCAGAGTTCAAGCCTCACAACCAAAACAACAGCAGCAGCAACAAACAAACATTATTACGGTTCTAAAAGAAGTGTATTCACTCCTTTATCAATCACTGATCTGCTCGTTATATTCCATACGTCGTGTCTTCTGCCAAGTTTCAATGGCTGAGCTACATCACCCAAATCTGTGTTGCGGTTTGCCAGCTGCATGGCACCTGATTGATTCAGGTTTCTCTCCTTTTCTGTATATTTTGTTAAGAGAGATACCCCAAGGAAGGGCTACATGGGCCCACCAACTCTTTATTTGTATTCTTACCCAACTCGTAGCTTTCGAGTAAGGATAATCTCAAGAGTTTAAAAGGAAAATGGTGCTACATGAGGGACCACTTCTACTCAACTAAGGCTTTGACCCTGAGCCCAGCTTGCCTGGCCACCAAGTCCTCTCAGCTTCCCCAACCTCTTATACAAAGAGACCAGGCTGGCACCACTGTCTATATCACCAAACATGTTCCTAGAATGCCACAGACAAGGCTTACTTTGTACGCTTTACATACACTAGGAAAGCCTCCAAGTTCTGTAAACAATATGCTGCTTTTTCCTGATGTCATTTTGATCAGAGTATCCTCTAAAGTGGACGCTATCATCAACAATTACAAAATTAAGAGGAGGAAGTTAGATGATGCTTTGATATCGTAAGGAATGATAGTTTGCATTGATTTCTTGTCTGTTGCTTATTACTTATTTATGACTAA